CACTCTGAGAGGTTAAATGTCTCCTTGCTCTAAAGCTTCTGCTTATGGAAATTGTCAGAAAGAAACAAGGACCAGGTGTGTGAAGATGTCTACAGATGATACTAAAAAGTGAAGAAAAGGAACTCTCACTCATTGCTGGTGGGAATGGAAAATGGTATGGCCACTTTTGAAAATAGTTTGGCGATTTCTTACAAAATGCAACATACTTTTACCATATGATCCAACAATTGTGCTCCTTGGTATTTATCCAAAAGAGTTGAAAACTTATGTCCACACAAAAACCTGCACATGGATGTTTATAGCAGCTTTATTCATAATTGCCAAAACTTGGAAGTAATCAAGATGTCCTTCAGTAGGAGGTGAATGGATAAATAAACTGTGATCCATCCAGACAATGAAATGCTATTCAGTGAAAGAAAAGAAATGAACCATCAGGCCATGAAAAGACATGGAAAAACCTTACATGCATATGTAAACCTTAAACGCATATGAAAGAAACCAATATGAAAGGTTACAAACAGTACATTTTCAATTTTATGACATTCTGGGAAAGGCAAAACAATAAGGACAGTAAAAAGGTCAGTGGTTGCCAGGGATGGGAGATAGGAAGAGAGATGAATAAGCAGATCACAGAGGATTTTTAGGGCAGTGAAAATACTCTGCATGATACTTTAATGATGGATCCATGCCAGTATACATCTGACTAACCCACAGAAAGTACAACACCAAGAGTGAAACCTAAGGTCAACTATGGACTTTCGGTGATAGTGACATGTCAGCGTAGGTTCATCAATTGTGACAAATGCCCCACTCTTGTGGGGGATGTGATCATGGGAGAGGTTCTCCATGTGTGGGAGCAGGGAGTAGAGGGAAAGTCTCTGTACTTTCCTTTCCATTTTCCTAACCTAAAACTGATCTTAAAAAATAAAGTCCTTTCATCAACATGTGTAGACCATCAACTTACTCAATGTTGTATGTCAATTACATCTCAATAAAAACATAAAAATGAAAAAAAAAGAAGTCCTTTTAAAAAAAACCTGAAGAAATCCAACAAGTTTGGTATAAAGATGGACTGAGAGCGACGTGGCCATTGCCGTGATAACATTTCTTTTCATTGCAAGCACTTTTTGAGCACCTCTATGGGCCATCCTCTATGCTAGACACTGAGGATTCAGGGGTAAATAAGGCAGACATGGTCCCTTCCCTCAAAAAGCCTGGAGTCTGATGGATGTTGATATTCCTACTGATGGATTTACTTGTTGAAGAAACTGTTAAATCCACGTCAAGCATGTAGCAGGCCTTTGGTGAATATTTGTTATATGGATATTTAATGAAACAAATCACAATAAGTCATCCGTTCTTTCCTGAAAATTTTGTCCAGATTTTATAAGGGGACTTTGGCTAATCTAATAATTGTCACTGTGATACAATATTGAGATTTTTATGTTACTAAACTAAATTGAACATACTTCTTGGTTGAATGGTTTGAAAGGTGTTTATTGAGCACCTACTATGCCAGGTACTTTATATTCCCCCTTAAAGTCATTCTCACGACCCTGGGAAATGAATATGCCCATTTTATAAGTAAGCAATCAGACATTCATAAAGATAATAAACTCGCCCAACAGAGTCAGAATTCATACTCAGGTCTGTCTGACATATCTGTGCTTCTCCCTTTATATGCAACACTTCAAGAACAGTCAAAGAGTCACACAACAACTTTACCTAACCAAAGCTCCCATGTGAATCAATAATCTCCAAACATTTTTCTCCTTCTATGTATGACCTTATATTTCAAGTCAGTGGGCCCTCTTGACAATTTATCCCTAGGAAGACTAGAGCTCTACCTTTTACTTGCCTCCCTGCCTCCTTGATCTGCTTCCAACGGTACAGCCTCTAGACCTTCACCACAGTAAGGCATTTGGTCCTTTCACTAGGCAGAGCTGGGAATGTAATGGGAGAAATTAGGTGGACCTAAGACTTGAAACTGTTCTCCCCCTCAGGGGAGGAAAATCAGTGAACCTCAGCAACAGATTTATGGAAACTGAAAAAAATTATATTTTTATGAACCCACACAAATAACACAATTCTTTTTCTTTAGGGTCACCAAAGGGCAATCACAAGAGAAATGAAACCAGTTATAATTTAGAAAAGACACTAAAATGCACTCAAGATTCATTGTGGTTATTGGACCATATTTGAGGTTTGTAGAGATTGACAGAGAATAAAGTCCTCTGAGAACCAGCAACTGGAAAGAAAATTACATCCACTTTAATATACACCAGTGTTGCTGAGTCTATGTGCCCAGCTGCAGTGAATGCATCAAATATTTGAATCAATGTACAAATAACCATAAGATGCTTCTCATTTTCTTCCAGATCTGAATGATGAATCTTGGCTGTAGAGAAGCTTTAATTTAGATTAACATCCACTTCTTTACTTGGTCCCTTACTATGCCTTTTTATTATAACCTATGTGATTTTCTTCCAAAACCAGTATCACCATTTCAGTTCTGTGTAGAACAACAAATTTAATATGAATACCTCCTGGTCTGAGCCATGTTATAAGATGAAAAGGAACCACATCTTTCACAATTGGACTTTTTTTGCCTCAATAATATATTTTATCAATTATTAATGATGTCTTATTAATTACTACTCTTCTATTTCTCTCTGCCACGTGCCACCAAAGATCTTAGTTATCCAAGTACTATGGTGATGAGATTTAAATTAAATAGTGCTAACACTTTTGAATGAAACATACCCAGTTTTGTGTAAATAAGTCAGTGAGAGGGGCACCTGGGTGGCTCAGTCGGTTGAGCAACAGACTCTTGGTTTTGGCACATGTCATGACCTCAGGGGTCTCGGGATCCAACCCCATGTCTCCATATGGGCTTTGTGCTCAGCGTGGAGTCTGCTTAAAGATTCTATCCCTCTGCCCCTCCCCTCATTTGCACATGGGCTCTCTTTCTTTCTCAAACAAATAATCTTAAAAAAAAAAGTCAATGAGACATTGAAAATATTTTTTAAAAAAGAAAATATACTCATATTTGTGTACAAAGGACCTGCTGGTAGCTTTTCTCTGGACAAATCGTCTACAATAAATGAAGCTGACAACATGGCAATAAAAGAACTGAAGTAATGCCTGACTGAGTGATTATACCAGTCTTTTCTGTGTTGGCTAAATTCAGTCATTGTTTCCTTTCCACCTCAGTATTTCCACTTCAATGTTCTTAATAAGTGGAACCAGGGAGGAGATAGAATGCAGATCCTGGTAGCTGTAACTCTCCTGAATTGTTCCTATAATTGGGTTTATGAAAGGACTGTAGATGATATATTTCTTTATGAGGTAACTTTACAGCAGAAATTGTTCATACAGATCATATTATATGAGCTGTAACAGAGAGGCCAATGAAGTGAGTTTAAGGCTAATTTGAGCTTACTTTGGGTTGACCTGGTATTATTTTTATGGATGGTTCTAGCTGGTCTTCGACTTAACACACACATCCACATATGTGGTTGCTATTCCATCAGACAAGATGACATGGTTTGACTCAGATCTTGGTGGACATGAAAAATACAGGCAAATTTTTTTTATTTCTAGAAATACCAATGTTCTTAAGATACCAGAAAGAATACTACCCGTACTCTAGGTGCAAACACATGAATAGACTTTGAAATTTGGACAAAGCAGAATTTTCAAATCATCTAAACAGCAAACCAAGGGCGCACTGACTATGCTGTCTGGTTGCTTCAGAAAGTGGGGAGGATTTTTGTGGCAAGGAGTCAGTGGTACACAGAGTGTAAGAAACACCTTTGGTTAAAACATCAGAAACCACACTAACAATTTACGTCTGCACATTTAAAATGAACTCCTTACATGAGAAGATAAAGGAAAACTCTCAGGTCTTTTACAACTTGAAAAAAGACTTTGTCACTTTGAAGTTTTGCAAAATTATAGTAATGTATCAAGGCTCTAATTTGCTTAAAGCCTATTCAGCAAATATCTTTGTATGTCAAAATGCAGTAAAATACACTTGTGAAAATTATGTGGTATCATAAATTATATATAATGGGGAATCTGTGATTAACCACAATTTGGTGTGGTCTGCATTGCCCATCATAGCTCCAGACCCAGACATCCGCTGAAACTTTTTGCTTTTATATGAATCAAATCCCTCTCAATGGTGAAACAAAGACAAAAAGTACAAATAAAAATAAGAACCTATCCACTCCTAATTTTGTTTCTGCCTGTTCTATTTCAGTGGAACACGTTAAACATGGAGAAATTGTTTCTAGAACTAAGAAGTTGCCTTACATGTGAGGTGGCTCTGAGTCCCTTGCCAAAACTGCTGGAGGAAGTCACTTTTCTTACTGAAATAGTTGCTTCCTTGCTGATTATAGCCAGCCTCATGACCAGATACAGCAAAGATGTGGCTGGAAGGCAGCATAGGGGGAGATCTGGAGGGAATGCAGGGCAGCTGGCTTCACAGCTGTGCAAACCGTATAATTCTATGGTTTGAGTGGGAGGTAACGAACAGCCCTAGACTTTGAGCCTCTTCCTCTCAGAAATGAAGATCTGGCCTTGAAAACTTTGGGTGTGTTGTTTAAGGTCAAAACACATAATCAGGACATTCAGTAGGGGGAAGGAGCAGAGCATGAAGAAAATGGGAGGGGAGGTTGGGAAAGAAAAGTGCACTTGGTTATTTGGCTGAGTGCCTGCCTATGGCCAAGTTGGACTGATGCCCCACATGGTCGGTGGTTCTAGAGTGCAGTACAGTTACTTTTAGTTTCAAAACGACAAACACTTCTAAAAATTTAAGCACTTTGTGTCTTATGGATTGATAATAATATTCTATGGCAGCCAATAATATTCTATGGCAGCCACACGTCATTCCATGATGAGAGTTGACAGTGGAGGCACAAAGGTCACCTATATTTATAAATCAGTAGATGCTATAGTCAGTCTTTCTGAGCTATTTGGCTATGTTGAATTTTTGGCTACGGCAAAGGCAACATTTTCGGTAGAATTAGTCTGGTTTTCACACTTTCATTCCCATGTCTTATTTGTGCCAGAGCTAGACATCTAAAGCTGTCCCATTCACCCAGACCACATCTGTTTCTTGCCTTTGCATAGTACTTGGCTCTTGGTAAAGCATTTTCACGTTTGGTCCCTAAAGTAACAACAAAAATCAGGCAAAGAGTGTTATCCCCATGTTACGGGTTTCAAAGATTCAGAGATGATTCAACCCTTCACCAGCAGACTCAGATTTTGGGATCAGCAAGTCTCCAAACCTGTCACAGAACACTTGTGCCCATGATTCAGGAAAGAGAAGATGCTCCTCCAGGTTCTCAAAAGCTAAGATTCTGAGATTTTTTGATGTTCACCTGGCCTACACGGATGAGTTCTCAAACTGAAAAGTTGTGTTCTCTCTCTTTTCTCCCTCCCTCTTTGCCTTCCTCCTTTCTTCTCCCAATATCCCTTTCTCTGCTCTTTTTTTTCCCCTTCCCACAAAACACCTCCTCTATGTTCAGTGGATCACTGGAAAGCCTAGTAGTTATTGTACTGGCATAGCCATTTCCAAGTGGCCATTTGCAAAAGATATTTCAAAGTTGATCCATTCAACTTCAGTCAGAGTATAGACTATGAAATGTGAATTTCCTTAACTTTAAGAGTCTGAGGGTGACTTCCTTTCTCATTTTGGACCTGTCATATTCACTCAGTACTCCAGACAAGAAGCACTGAATAGACGTAAAATTTAGCTCAGAAAATTTGTTCCTTATATGGAAGTTCCTGAATTTGTAGCTCATTTGGTCTTATAAGATGTGGTAACTAGAAGGACATCTTCCTCTTTCTTTTTCTTTTCATTCTTTCCACTCTTTTCTGTTTGTAGTATCTCGGAAGAATTGAACAAGGATGATACAAAACACAGAAACCTAATGAAGCTCGCTCTCCACTTTGTGTAATGGATATTCACTATATGCCAGGCATTATTCTAAGCTTTTCACATTTAGTAAAATTATCTGCTCTTCAAAAAACAAAACCAAACCCAGAAAACCCTCCAAGATGGTCCCCATTTTTAATTCCATTTTATAGGTGAGAAAATTAAGACAAGAGAAGTTAAATGTCTTGCCCAAAGTCAGATGGCTAGTTAAGTGACAAAGTGGGGATTTGAAACAAAGAAGTCCAGTTTCAAGAGTATATCTGCACATAACCACTAGACTACCTTGAAAAAGAAAGGAGTCTGTCTCACTTCTCCTCTTTGCACTCTGCAGGGCTGTGTTGTGATTTCCGTGGCTCCTAGGCATTTTTGCCTTTAAAAGCCCCTTTCACCACCACACACACACACAAAAAGTAAAAACTACATTTTATTACGTACTATGTTGGTATAAAGACAAATATAAACGAGGCTGGGTTATATTCATTTTTTCTCTTGATTTTACAAGAAATTAAAACATTTTTGTGGGCCTTGAAAAGTATTGCGAGCCTGGGCCCTGTGCCTACTCTACCCAAAAGCTAAGTTGGCCCTGACTCTGGGGTTTTTCTCTCTCACCTTGATTCATGTCCAGTTAAGAAAATGAATTTACCACAGTCTTTGGGGGATTTCCTTGCAAATACTGTTTCTGAGTTCAGAAATAGCACCTGATAAACTACCAATGAAGTAGTGTTTTTTTAGACTGTAGGTTATAAAATCATTTAGATGGGTTCTAACTAACATTTTCATAACTAGCCTATGTTAGAATGGGAAGGGATGGGCTAGGGTAATATAGAAAACATCAGAGTATATTTGCACCTCTTAAGGTATTTTGAGAAATATTTTATTCTAGTTATAAATATGCATGTGTGTAAGTGAGGTGTATAAAGTGCATTTCTTTCTTTTTTCCTTTCTTTTTTTTTTTAGAGAGAGAGCTCAAGCGGGAAGGGGCACAGGGAGAAGGTGAGAGAGAATCTCAAGCAGGCTCCACACTCAGCACAGAGCCTGACGTGGGGCTTGACATCATGACCCCAAGATCACAACCTGAGCTGAAACCAAGAGTTGGCTGCTTAACCTACTGTGCCACCTAGGCACCCCTAAAGTGCATTTCTTAGTGAGTCCTAGCCAAATGTTTTTTTAAAATACTGAGCTAGGATGCATTTTTAGTTCTATCTCTTTTTGTTTCCCTTAGCCATGTTCAACTTAAAATGTGATCTTATGGCAAAGCTGACATAAGCTTGCTCTCTTATAAGAAATCATGGCCATTAAGAATATGGGTTTGGAATCATATAAAAGATGATCCAAATTCCAATTCTTCACCTTATTCCCCTAATTATTTATATCACCATTGCTAAGTTATTTAACCTCTTTGTCACTCAGTTTCTAAGTGGATAAAATAAGGATTGTAATAATCATGCCAATCTCCTAGGGTCATTATGAGATATAAATGAGCAAATGCTAATAAAGCCCTTGGCACAGTAGATGTTAGTGAACACTCTGTATATGCAGACAACTTATATATATTTATTTCTGAGCCAGACTTTATTTTTAGCCTTAGGTTTGTCTAACTGCCCATTTGATACCTCCACTGGGATGTCTAGTAGGTGTCTCACATTTGACCTGTCTACATTTGAACTTCTGACCCTTCCCCCATGCTCCAAAATGGCCCTTTTATCCTGCAGTTGCTCAGGCCAAACCTTTAAGGGACTTCTCGGTCTTTCCTTCTCTGAATCCACCATGAAAGCTTGTCGGCTATCCCTTGAAATACGTACAAAATCTGACCACTTCTCACTGTTGCTGCTGTTGTGAGCCACCACTATTTCTCTGGGTTGCTGTAGTAGCGTCCAAATCAGCTTACCTGCTTCCTCCTTGTCTCACGATTGTCTGCTCATACAACAGCAGCCCCAGCGATCCTTTTTAAAATCTCAGATCGTGTGACTCTTATGCTTAAATCCCTGCACCGTCCCATATTTCTCTAAGAGGAGAGTCAAAGCCTGGCAGGGACCCACCAGATCCTGTGTAATCTGGTCCCGGTTCCCTCACGAATTTCCTCTCCAGCCACCCTGGGCTCCTTGGCAGGTCTTGAACATACCAGGACCACTGCAGATACAGAGCCTTTCCATTTGCATTCCCTAAGCTCTCTCTTGCCCTGTTCTCTACCCATACTGGCATTGCTCATTCTCTCACCTACTTTGGAGAACTTCACTCTCATTCCCCCTTCTCAATGTCGCCTAGCCTGCAATCCACCCCTTTCTTTGCCTCCAGGTGCCTTATACTCTTAGCTTGCTTTATTTGTTTTTGCCCTAACACTTAACCTATAAAACACTATACAATGTATGTAAATATTATATTGTTTATTGTCCATAACCCACTTTTAGAAGTTAAAATTTATGAGGGTTAGATGTTGTTTTGATCACTAATGTTTCCCAAGTGTCTAAAAACATGGTCTAATACATATTTAACTTCTCAATATTTGTTGAATGAATAAATATTATTATATTATTATTTCTTCTTAACCTTCTTCACTGCCCCCACAAAGCACGGGGCCCAAACGGAATAGGGATAAATTCAAGCATAATGAAGCTCTTTCTATACTCTTGTTTGCACCATGATTGAGTATTAAACCAACTTGCTCTCATAATTTTGTAGACATCCAGAAATAACGGGCTTTCTATGTCTATAAGTGGCAAACCATCATGTTAATAAAGTTCAGTATAGTTTCAAAACCAAGGGGCGCCTGGGTGGCTCAGTTGGTTACGTGACTGCCTTCGGCTCAGGTCATGATCCTGGAGTCCCGGGATCGAGTCCCGCATCGGGCTCCCTGCTCAGCAGGGAGTCTGCTTCTCCCTCTGACCCTCCCCCCTCTCATGTGCTCTCTCTCTCATTCTCTCTTTCAAATAAATAAATAAATCTTTAAAAAAAAAAAAAAAACAAAACCAAGACATACTTTGAATCTTCATGACTATAATTACAGCCCAAGTGTTTACTATTCAAAGATTCTGCTTCTGAATTGTTAGTTTAGGCTATACACATGTGGTAGAAAAGATCAATAGGAAAGCTACAGACTTTTACACAACACTTGCCTTCATAAATGTTAAATAACTAGTAGTGTTATTTGTCCTGTTGTCCTTCGATAACCTGTGTAGAAAGTCATGCCAATCCATTATCATTCAATAAGGCCATAAAATTGATTTTGTCTTTTATTTAACTATCTTACATTATATAAAAGACTTATAAATTAAAGCAATTAAGATGTCAACATGGCCCACTTTTTTTCCTCCTGAAATCACATCCACTTCATCACCTACTGAAGTAGGCAGGAACAGAGATGAAACAAAGGGGAAAAAATGCTAGAATTCTTGTAACATACAATGAGGAACATATTATCTTTATTAATAATTCTTTCAGGGCCTCTTTTGTTTACATGACATAATACACTGGGTATAGTACATGTCCCCTTTTTCATCTTATCAAGTCAAGGAGAAAAATAGCTCTACAAACTATCTTCTGTTTCCACTTGTGTCTTAATACCTGCTTGTACAATAAATAATCACGAATTGAAGTTGAATTCATCAAGGAGGAACTAACTCCATGTGTAATATTAAAATATTTTTGCTTGGTATTAAAATATATGCATGGAATATATTGTTTTGCACCTATTCTAACCAAAAAAAATATTTGCTCCTATTACCATATATGCCTGGGAAGAAAAAGAAAAAAAATTCTTTGTAATCCATGACCAAGTTTTACAGTTAGTGTCTAGAAGTTAGGGTTATTCTATCTGAATTCCAAAGGGGTATATTTACCTTCCCTGGTAATTTAAAAGGATAAGGGGAAAATATAGATCTTATACACCCTATTTATTTTAATTATAAAAGAGGAGAGGCTAAAAAACTTAAAATGCCAATTGGGAGACTGGGTTAATATTTAGTTTTCTCACTTTCCATTTATTGCTATGATTTCTCCAATACCTTATTCAATCATAAAACAAATATTTACAAAGCATCAACCGTGTTAAAGACTCTAATCCCTGAATATTCAAACTTAAAACATTTTAATTAAATGATGCTTGTAAATGTGCCTTCTAGCACATTATTAATAAGAATTAATATTGATTGTTAATATTTATCAATTCTTTCAATTAAACATATTTTCACAACTTAGTTGTAATCAAATATTTTAATTATTGCTATAATTAT